GCATAGTACACATGATTTTACACATTTTGTCTCATAACTGGCCTATTTTCTTTTGAACTTGGCTCAGCCAAAGAGAAACAGGAAGTGATGTCAAAGGGGAATGTCTGCATGTAAACAGAGCGTTGTTACAACAGCTAAGAGAAGAACTTGATGTTTCTTTAGATTATTTTGAGTTTCTATCAAAGAAAGATTAAGAAGCATTAAAGTTTAAATAATTTTGTTTTAATAAACAAAGACCAGAGAGTTTATTTTATTAGAGTTCCCCTTTGATGTCACTTCCTGTTTCACTTTGGCTGAGCCAAATCCAAAAGAAAATAGGCCAGTTATGAGACAAAATGTGTAAAATCATGTGTACTATGCCAATTTTCTTCAGAATAACGATGTTTTCTTTGACTTTTTGTATTTGAAGGATAGACATGTCAGAGGCACTTTAAGACTTAAGAAATAGATAATTAAATTAACCAAAGTGTTTATTTTATTTGTATAATGACATGCTCAAAACGGTAATGAGTGAGTTATTGACTGAAAAAACAAATAAACAAACACTTATTCAGTTTTGAAAACAGGATAAAAAATGCTCACCTGTGATTGAAAGTAGGTTTCTTGTGGTGTTGACAAAATATCTGCAGAGGCGATGTCCAGATGAAGAAGTATCTGTCGAAACGAAGGTCTGTTTCTTGGTTTGCAGTTCCTGGGAACAATTTACATTTTGCTTTATTAGCATTTGTGTGTTTTAAAATACATTTTTATAGTGTTTTATATGGGTGACCATTTACTCTGTCAAAAACGTGTTTAACAGTGTATTTTACAGTTTCCTTTTTACAATTTCCCCCTCCTCCTCCTCACCAGCATTGCTTCAGGAGCAGTTTGAAGCTGTCTGGACAGCTGTCAGGTACCGGCAGCTGCAGACTGTTGTTTCCCACTCCCCAGATGATAGCAGAGGAGTCCACGTCCTTGTAGGGCACCTCCCCCGTCAGCATCTCCCACAGCACAACGCCAAACGACCTTCAGGAAAACGGGGCACAGCTTCTTTCAAACACGATGCTACTCAAGCAGCGAAAAACAGACAAAAGCAGCGTGTAATGTCGCACTTTCATTCCTGTAATTGGTTTTGTTTTAAAATGTTTCATTTGAAAGTTGCAAGACATCATTTAATTAAAAAATGCTGCGTTTTATTAATTATAGTGATAGTAAGTTAAAAAATTAGAAGAAATTCCTACGACTAAACATAATATTTAAATAACTTTTGAGAATTAAAAAGAAAAAAATGAATGTGCTTAATTTGTGTTTGGTGTAGCAACACACCAGCCTCATGGGAAGTGTAACCATGGAAAGCCTGTTGCTGGTAATGCCTTGAGTTACTGTAGCGACCGTGTACAGTATCCAAGGTGCCAGTCGCATCACTTAGATGCTCGAGGGCTCGTGATGCTCTATTTGCATGATGTGTCTTTTTTTAGGATGACTCTGRCTTGTGATAACGATGCACAAGAACAGAAGGTTTGATACTGATTTTAATTTGACTTTACTTTTACTTTAAATGTACAAATTTTACTTGTGCCAAAATAAAGACRTCTTTACACATTGTTAGCTCTTGAAATACACGTTATGTATTTTTCACACAAAATCCAAAAAGGATTTGCAGCAGCTGTTGCTTCATATCAGAACAAACACGTTTTTATGGGTACAACATATGACAGAGCTTAACCACAGTCTGTTCATTTCCAACTCCCTTTTTGTGCAACTACCAAGTGATTTACATAGATTTAAACAAAAAAACGTACCCTACACGCCCAGGCTTTGCTTTCTTTTTGCATCAAAAGCATTTTAATCCTATTTTCACTCTCGGCTAATGCAGTGCTGGCCGAGGGCCAACCCGTCCGAAGGCTCGGAAGGTTATTCCAGCCTCTCCTGAGCACTGCAGCATCTGGCAGATCAATTATTAAATTAGCCAGCGTTTCTTTCAGGATGGCGAGGAAGACTGATGGAGGGATGTAGTAAAAGGAGAAAGCGGGAGGCAGAGAGTGTACTAAACGGGGGGGATGGGGGTTTGGAGGAGAATCAAGACTTAACATAGGGCAACCCATCAGATACGACAGAGACCCTATAGAGTTTCATGTAATGAGATATTATACATCATACTGAATAGATTGCCTGGAAACAGGATCTTTTGTGCTGCGCTGTAGTAGACTGCAGCTAATGAGATTTTATGTTGATTTTGTTGGCTGATAAGTCAAATCATGAAGGGAAATTCAAAAATTCAAAAAGGACAGTGTAGAAAGGCTACGGCACCTACCAAATATCCACCTTCTCTGAAACGGGTTCGTTCCGGATGACCTCAGGAGCCATCCAGGCTACGGTCCCAGCAAAAGACATCTTGGTGCTTTTGTCACTCAGCTCCTTTGATGTACCGAAATCAGATATCTTCACAGCATCGTCATAGGTGATGAGCATGCTGGAATTAAATGAGAGATTTTGTTGTATTTACCTGTTTGAGCTCACGATAAATTTAAACCAGCTAAAGCAGAAAGTGCTGCTAAAACAGATATAACTGTAATCCACGTACAATGTAGCCTGGTTAAAACCTGGACTATCGGCTATAGAGACGCGATTCTTGCTGGAGGCGTGGCCTCTGTTGAAGTTTAAAATGATTGGATCAGTTGGCTGCAACGTATGTCGCTGTGAAGGAGGCTAAGCTGAGAAGCTAACCGGAAATCGTGTGCACTGTAAACAACCCTACTGAGAGGAGAGAGGTACCGAGCTGAACGAGACGACTGTAAATGAGAGCTGCTGCTTTGTCAGACAAATTTAAAGGGGCAATAGTATGTGTTCCTCAGGCATACATTTAAATACTATACCATAATAAAGTATATATGTCACCTTTAGCT